CGAAGTTACGTCGCTCACAAAAGTCAGATATCCTCGCTTACCGTGTTGTTCCCTGGTCGCGTAATCCCAGAAAACTCAATCGACAGCCCACCGGCACATTGTGCACTCGCGTACTCAACAATTCCAATCAACAAACCTAACGTCTACGCGTGTCCAAGCAGGAATCCCTCGATCTTCACGCGATTTTCTTCGCGTGAAGGATAGCACCCCCTCCCTTTAAGCTAATGGGCGGCGATTCGCCCTGCGGACGAATCCTTCAACCCAGCGCCTTCGCCACGCGCCAATTTCGAATCTGTCATTGTGACAATTAATAAATTTCATCTCTTGTGGACAATTCATACATCTTGGTCCTACGAAGAGTAGCATTCGTTCTTGCGCGAGGGTGCACCAGGCGTCCCTGGATTCCCAACTCGAGGAAATATAATTATGCGCAAACTGACGATGGGCGCTATGCCATAGGGGTCAGTAGTGGTGCTCAGTCGGGTGGCGCTGTCTACGCCGCTTCCAGTCGTCGTGAACCGCGCCGAATCACTCCTAGTGCGTCATCTTCGGTTCTTCCAGTACTACCCCCCTCTGAAACTACTCCCGAGAGGCGTGCTCCCTCCGCTTCTTCCGCCTCCGAATACATCTCGGGGTATGGTAAGACAGAGAAATTTTCACCCCTTCGCGAATCCGAGTCTTTGGGGTCGCCACTACGACTCGTTTCCGCTACGCTGGCGAGTGCTAACGAAATTTTCAAATGGACGTCGAATGGAGAAACACTCCAAGTCAATTCATTCAGTCAATTCATGGTGTCTCGTCAATAAGCTCGGTCGATTTTCCGTAATCTCTTCGGATGGAGGTAAGCTCATAACCATCACCCTCCTCTGTCCGCACCAATAGCAAAAGATACCGTTCCGATCCTTCTTACAATCGCTATGGTAATGTCCTCGTTCGTGACAGTTCCAACACGTGAAGCTTGGTCGATCTGTCGTAATTTCTTCGGATGGAGGTAAGCTCGAACGCGTTGGTTCGTTTTGCTCGTCCTCCTTAGGAACGACGGACACTCTGGTCCGCTTGCGTATCGGAGGCAGCCGGGGGACGACGGACACTCTGGTCCGCTCGCGTATCGGAGGCAGCCGGGGACCGTCTAATGCTGCCGTCCGTTCGCGTTTCCCGAACGGTTCGCGAGCCGATCTTTGCACCGCGAACACTCACTGATCGTCACCCCCCGCAGTCCGCACCAATAGCAAAAGATACCGTTCCGATCTTTCTTACAATCGCTATGGTAGTGTCCCTTTTCGCGACAATTCCAACACGTGATTGGCCGTTCATCCGGGGTTGCGCGTTTCGCACCTGAATCCGACGAATCATCCTTAATGGCCGTCACGTCATTCGAGGGTTTCGATCTCGGTTTCGTCCAACCGAATCTGGACTTGTTCCCCGTATTCTTCGCGGCAGGTTGGTCCTTCGGTCGATCACTTTCGGGCGCCTTAGGCTTGGCGCTTTTCTTCGTTTTCTGTCC